TAGGCTACAGGGAGTAAAACGGTCATCCGACGCATCGTGTCCAGTCAAAGCAAAGAAAACAAGCAGCAATAATGCTCGCGTGCTTGTGACATCGACAGAGACTCGGGCTCCACTTCCTCCATGCACTTTTTGCGGAGAAAATCACGCAGTTTACAAATGTCAACAATTTAAAGCATTAAGTGTAAATGCAATATATATTGTTTCGAGTCGATGAGGGCAATACACGCATTTTCTTGAAACTCGAGGGCACAACGATTCCCCTCCGACGAACCGAAAAGCGCGTAATCATCGTTTCGAGGAATGTTGGGGAAAAAAAAAAAACAACCTCACAGCGGGAGATCCAAAGGTGCAATCAAGCGTACATATACACAGGCCCCTTTGGCCCGGCTCCGAGGAGTCGAAATTTGCATGGTTTTCGCGTCTCTTTGCTCATATTCCGACTTTCAGCCACGTACAGGAAGAAATGCACCTTGCGGAGAAAACCGATGTGGATGAAAAAAAAAAAAAAAAAAAAACCACTCGATGCGAAAAACAAGGAGTAAGAGAAAAGAAAGAGGGACAGCCGGGATGGAAACGTCGGGACCGGCGAAATTTGGCGATTACCGCTCCTCGGGGATCCGAAGAGCATATATATATATACGACGGGCCGTGTTCTTGTCTCTCCTCTCCCGTGGCGTGTGTATTATAAGGGTGTGCTCGTATATATGTATATGTACATGGAAAAGGGAAAAATGCCAAGAAGATAAGTCTCGGTGAATTTAAGTGCCCCCGAGGAGGATTCCGTGCAGGACAAGACTGGGAGAGAGAACACACGGCACGGGAGCAGCCAGCGTGAAAGGAGCCTCTCTCTCTCTGGGCGTGGTCCTTTCTCTCCTCTTTTCCGCTCTGTCCTTTTCGAGCCTGAAAAACTTGATGCTTTCTTGCGTCTGGGGGAATCTCTGGGCAAGAGAGAGAGAGAGAGGGCGAGGGAAGATGAACCTGATAGAGGAGGCGAGAGGCCATTTTTGAAACTATACCCGCGTGACGGCGGTGCAGGCATCTTGTTCGTTTCGTATACATGGGTACCGGAGTGGCCTGCATGGGCGTTGTTTTTTTTTTCCTTTTTTTTTTCTCGGAGGAGAATCCCCCGAAGATTTGAGATGCAATATGAGCGGCTCTGGTGCACAGAAAATGCGGCCGTGGCTTCCTATAGCACGCTCATAATTTTCGTCGCTGTTATTGGTACGAGAATTTTTTTTTCCTCTCTTTTCTTTTCACAGTCACGAGTTTTATTTCATGCCGAAACAAATTGCTACTAGCCTTGGATTTTTGGGGACGAGGAATTTCGTCTTTCGTGTGTTTGTTTTAAGAATAAAATTTAAAAAAAAATGACACGTCCAACTGTATCGTTGCAAGGCTAAATTGCTATTGGTAATTGTACTTGAATTTAGGTACCTCTAGGAAACAACAGCGACCAACAGAAAAGGGAAAAAGCCAAATGGATCAAATGATTGTCTATTGCACAATAATGATTCGTACCTCAGTCAAACGATCGCAGTAGAATAACCAAATTGCTGGTAACACGCAACTACGAGAAGGCCACTCGAGGCTGAGGTACACCCATACTCTTGAAACCGAGCGCGCTTGCACAAATGGACGGATGAGTTGTCGTCATCGACACATCCGAATGACTTGTGCGAGCTGATGGTGGTACATTGTGATCGGGTGACGAGCTAATTATACCCCTGGGCCGGTGCCTACACAGAGGGGGAAGAAAGAAATCTGTGTGATCATCTTTCCCAGCTGGATGGCCAAAATGCCCATTCACGGAAGCTCGCGTGCTCCACTGATACATATAACCTACATGCTGGAAAAATTCGCGCTGGACCAACGCAATCGTCCAGAATAGAAACGATGACGACAACTTCACCCCACCCCCCTTTTCTAGACCGGCGCTCTCTTTTTATAAATATTCCACTTTCCGGCCTAATGTCTCGCGCGATGGGTACTTTGTATTTTCGGAGCCGGCATTTGTTACGTGAAATTTATCGTTCCACGGTGCGACACTACTTTTTTTCCCGTACATTATAAGCGCTCGTGTGTGCGTCTGCCGATTTGCTTTGATCATCCAGATCTTCTCGCACAATGGTCTTGGGCGAAACAAAAAAATATGGATACGTGTAAACACGCGAAACAAAAAAACGTTCGCGCGGTGGTGAATTATCGGCGGTTTCGAGAGCGTGAGTAACGCGGACTATAAATTAACGCTGATCCGGCGTTTACTGTGTGATCAATGGTATACCAGAGTTTTTTTTTTTTTTTTTTTTTTCATATAAATTTTAGAACGGGAAAGGTTTTTTTCTATACTCACGCGCCAAAGTCAACAAAACTATTTCTTACGTCGAAAAACGAGAGAAAAAAAAACTCCACTGCCGCGGGGAGAGGAGGAAAAGAGAGAGAGAGAGAGAGAGCAAGGTGTGCGTTTGGTCCGATTCAGAGCACCCACACCCGCATCAGCGTCGACCTTTTTGAGTATAACCATTGTGCCATACACAGAGGATCATCGCACACCTGGCCCCTCCGCTGACACCGACTCCTCCTCCTTCCCCCAACTGCAATGCGTTACGTATACACGTATACTACCTAACCTCGGGGCCCAAGGTGGTTGTTGTTGTAGCGAGCAAAACTTTGGCAAAAACAAATCGAGAGCGGGTGAGCAGCTGCCATCGCATTTACCTTTTCCCGCGTACTTTTCCACCTTTCGGGGGTATATGCGGGCCGATGCTGTGTAGCAGGGCGCACCTGTTGGTCGTCGCGGAGAGCAGCTGAGTCGCGTGCTCCTGACGTTGCGCACACGTCGCGTAATGACAGGGCCCAGGGACACACACACACACAGACGCGTAATTTTCGAGTTCGAGTCAAAGAGGGGGAGGAGGAGGAGGAACAAAAGGGGGACCACACAATGCGCAGATTTCGTGCGAGGACTCTCCTTCCGCCGAGGGTCGCTTTTCCGACGTGAGTAATCGATTCTTCGGACCGAGTTTTTTCGGGGACTCTCGACTCTATGGGGCAATTACGCGCGTTTCGCCGTCCCCCATTTCCAATGGGACACGGCAGTGTAATTATGCGCGTCCGAACTTGCACCACAGAGCTGCTTAATGCGCCCTGCGTTACTCTCTTGTTTATGGCATCAGCTGCCGGACGAGAGATCATCGAAAAAGTTGGGAAGCTTTGGTGAACTTGCTGTGTTTTTTTGGGGAGGGGAAGAATATGAAGCTGAATGAAAGGAAAAAATAATATGTTGACACGAGAGTTACCGGGGAGATGATGACGCGAGCGATAGGACGCAAACGAGGAGATGAGCAGGTAAGTGGCAAAATTGCGGACGGGACACGGGCGTTGGATGACTCCAACGATCGCCAAAGTATCGACTCGTAAATCACCCTGTACATGCGGCGTAAAAGTGCAACACTGACGCTGTAGAGCTCGTTTCCTCCCCCCTTTTTCCCTTCTTAACTACGATTGTCGTCCGAATGTGTATATATATATAAATATCTCAAATGCGAACTTTCTGCCGTTTGTCCGCCTCGGACGGGACGTTGCGTGTTTTTCTTGGCCGTGCTGCCGCGCCAAACATCTGTTCCTTGGGATGCAAATGGATTCCTTCCTTTTCTGTTTTCCTGCCTTTCCGAGATTCGGACGGACACAGGGGGGAGCTTTCCCGGGATTTTGGGGAGGGAAATTTTCTTTTGGGCCATCGCAACTGTTGCCCTTTTATCCTTCAAAACCGAGCACCCACACGTTACTTTCAAACAACGTCGATTGACTCCAAATTAGTGCCAATGGTCAATAGAGGGATATGATATAAAACTATACATTATTTATTTTTAATTCTATGAAAGTATCGCGTGTCAAACTATGTCTGCAGGTGCACTCGTTTTAAACTCGTTGTTCGAGCAAACACCCGAGGCCCAGAGTTGGCACGTTTTCCAGCGTCGGCAGGTAAAAATTCGAGCCTACCTATACACGGATGCCTCGAGAGGAGACGAGCCGTCAACGTATTGCAAGCGGAGTCTCGGCTGACGTTGTTCCGAGAAGAAGACGAGAGATAAGGCATAAGTCTCTTATCTCCCCCTCCCTCCTTTTTTCCCGCCCTCGCGGCTGCTTTCGGGCCATTTTTGTCTCGAGAGTGACTCTCGAGGATTTATGCGGCGTGCCGTGCTAACGGCGCCTCGACCAACGCCCCGATGGTGTCCACTGCAAAGGGGTTTACACGAGAGGGGAGGGAGGGACGCCGAAACCGACCAGGTTGCTTTTTTTTTTTTTTTTGCTCCGTCCCCTGCTCTGGGGGTCCACTCACCACGACAGAGGATTCCGGCTCTCTAATTGCCGGGATATTTGTTTCTTGATTGGGGCACCGATGATCGACGTGCAGGATACATTTTTGCGCGCGAAATGTTCGAGAGATTGATGAATAGTACCTTGGGTAGGTACATGATTATCGAGTCGTTTTAGGAACTTCTAGTTGAGGCACCGGCGAATATGATTCTTTTAACCAGCCAGAAGCCGAAGTGGAAAAAAAAGAGGCCTCGGGCTGTAATTTTCGGTTGTTGCGGGAGGGAAGAAAGGAGTTACAAAGGCAAAGAACCTTTGGATGAGAAAAAAAAGGATCGATGAAAGTCGTGGGAGGGACCCCCGGGGGTGCTGGATATGCCCTTGATTGGGGGAATCGGAAACTTTCCAGACAATGGACGCCCGCGATAAAGCTCGACGGAATTATAACGAGGACTGAACTTTTTTTTTTTCCTTACAAGGAGTTTTACAAGTGACCTGAAAATCAAAGCTCTACCGTGATGGTAGGGATAGGTGTGGTGATTTAGTTGGGATAAAAGTATACACGAGGTGTAGGAATGAATCGAGTACGAAGTAAAACGCGACCCAATTAGTCCAGATCGGTGCACATACGTACACATAATTACGCGGAGGAGGAGGAGGAGATATGGTGTGTATAGTTGGGCTGCTCACCTGATGACTTTTCGCCTGTTGTTGGGGTGGACGCGCAGCGCCATGTCCGGATCGACTTGCATCAATTTTTTGTGCAGCTCCTCGTTACTCGAGCCGTCGATTCGTCGAACTTTGATCAGCGATTCGTCGAGTCCGCTGTCCTCGTCGTCACCGCCTGCTCGTTTTGGATTGTCGACGAGCGTCTGCCAGATCAACGACTCGATGTAGTAGTTGGTGCCACCCACAATGATCGGCGTCTTTTTACTTTTTATCATACTGTCCATCTGTATGTGTCAAGGATAATAACAGGCCATTTACCTCCCATTGACCCCGTAATAAGCATTTTCGAAATACGTCCTTTGTGATTCTTTATAAATAAATGCGCCCACACGTTATATGTATATAATATACCGTCTTACAGTAAAAATAAAAAATAATGATATAATGATGAATAACAACTGGCCCCATTAATCGTCACAGATGGACGTCAATGAAAGTAAAAAGGATACGATCGAGAGGGCTTTGTTCCTAAAGTCGACCACCGTGTACTCTTTGAGGGGGTCGTTTATGTCGATCATGTGGTGCACCGCTTGGGCCTGCTCCTCCTTCGTCACCTTCGCCGTCACGATATCCAAGCCCTTGTACACCTGCAAATACAAATTATTTTAAATGTACACGAACACTTTATTTCCACCCAGCACCGTACGGGGGAACACATAAGTGCTGCAATTTTTAGTGATTGATTTGCCTCCCTGTGGGGATTTTCAAAGTGAAATCGTACAAACTGTTGTGGGAATACGCCGCCAAGTGCCCCAAATACTTTATTCTTGGTACAAGATATCGAAAAAGGAAGAAATACAATCGAGGAACCGAATCGAGGCGTATATCAGAGGTTCGTGCGCCTCCCAAAGGAAAAAAATTTGTTTTAAACAGGAAAAAAAAAAAAAAAAAAAAAAAGACGAAAAGGAGAGAGATCAGGGAAATCTCAAATGCCATCTCTCAACGATATACAGCTCGAGCGCTTAGCCCTTCGGCTCCTCCTCTCTCTCGCACACACCAGCCAACGTAATATTATAAACGGCATTCCTCGGCCGGTCGTCGTCATCTCGGCAGGTGACTTGACGTCCTCTTCTCCTTCTCCCCTCCCCATCCCCATACATATACATGCATATATGTGAGCGCCCACCGCGATCCTCGCAGGTGGCTCTTGGTATATAGGTATACTCTTTAATTCGCCGCAGTATCTTACTCGCGACAGTTCCGCGCACTCCTTGATTATCAGGAAAAAAGAAAAAATTAAACCAGCTCTGAAGCTCCTTGGGAAGGAAAATAAGCTTTGTTTCACACCAATTTCGTTGTACGTAGGGTCAAACGCGCTTTTACCTTCCCGTCCAGTTTTGATGATTATTATTATTTACTGTTCGCACGAAGCGAGGGAGGCACACGTGGACGTGTACACGTGAGAAAAATGTGGATCAGCCGTACACGTACGAAACATACGAGCTCTTGGTTGATGTATATCTGATGTGAAAAAAGGACAAGACAAAAAAAATGACTAGAAGGTGCTAAAAACTTGGCGTTTGGAAAAAAAGAAAAGCACAACAGCCAGAAAAATGCTCGATAAGGCCAAACAGCGGACAGAAACCGAGCTCCCGACCACAATACGATGTTAGACCTGTAAGAAAGAGAAAGCCGTACATGCGAAAATCCGTTGCGTTCCAGCATACAGTGGTCGCGGCGCAGACTCTGTTGTCTAATGTATATACACGCATATTTATATATATATATTTAGTGGGTATGCATATAGGTATACAGGCTCGTGAAAACAGGTTTTAAAGTCGAGATATAACCAGAGAGGGGGAGAGAAAGAAAAGAGATAAAGAGAAGGAAATGACGTAGACGCGACTAGGGTTATTGGTGAGCCGAGGAGGAAGGAGAGGAGGCGAGTGAAGCTTGAATGGCCAACATCAGCAGCAGCAGACCCCTATGTGTATATGCAATGGCGTTCCGGCTCCATTCACCGTGGAAATATACCTACTATACTCCGCAGAGAGAGAGAAGCCCACTTTTCTACCCCACCCCCCCTTGTGTTTCCACACTGCATAATATAACGTATATCTGCTGCCTTAGTGCCCCTATATACATACATACGTATGCGTATATAGCTACCCGCATGCAGAGATCGGCCGGAAGTAGGTACAGCTAAATAAATCCCGGCAGCTAATCGCCGGCCGATCTCTCTGTTTCCCCCCGATTTGGCAACGAGGATCATGGGTATCGGAGTACCGACTATACACACACGTACGTACTTCATTAAAACCTGACCGCATTTATATATTTATAATCAAAGTTGTATGCCGATTTTGTTTCATCTGGGAGAAGCTGAGCCGGTCTTGGAGATTAAATTCGAGGGAAACAAGTCGCTTCGTACTTTTTGATCGGCCGAGCAGTGCTACTTTCATTACTAAGATATTTAAGTGGGATTTTCTGAGAAAAAAAGGAGCCGATCTACCGATTAGGGATGATTTAAACCCCGAATTTGGAAAATCGGTAATTACGATCGCCCACTGATGAATAGTTTTGAAGATCGATATAATAATGATATCTAATGAGGTATTTCTTCGAGGCTGCATTGAGGACGCGTAATAATACGGTACGAGCTTTGTATGTATATGCTACATGGGCGTGGGTCAGCAGTTGAAAGAGAAAAAACTAGTAGAAAACGTCAAGAGATGTACGAAAAACCCTTTCCACACACGAGGCGCATAATATACACGGTTCGTTTGGTCTATCACTCGAGAGGAGATGGCTAATCGGCCGTGAGCTCGCTCCTTTCCTCCCGTAACATATCCACTATAGTTTGTCCCTTTGATCCGGATCACCAAGTCCTGGATGTAATGCACTTTGATGGCAAAACCACACCCGATGGGGTTCAAGATCAGCGAGCTCGAGATGTTTGACCAAACATGCGCTTCCAGCTTTTTACATAACAGAGGAGTGAAAAAAAAAGAGGGAGAGCTTGCAAAAAGAGACCCATTCAGTGGTCGGCGTGACTGTACAGCACGCGCATCAGTCAACAACCTTTGCTCTCACGAATTTACGCGCGTCGAGCGCGGGGAACGGCAAAAATAGTGAGAAATTTTGAGGGTGGGGGGGAGGCAACGTCCTTGAGAAGCAAAAAAAAAAAAAAAAAAAAAAAAAAAAAGAAAAAAAAAAAAAAAAAAAAACCATCGTCGAAAAAATAATTGAAAAATAGCCAAGGGTGCTAGATTTCGTATTTGAAATCAAACCATTTCCGCGAGACTTTCAACTGTACCAAAAGTTAGTGTTTTTCACGATAGGTGGGTGAGTGATATTCAAATTTGTTGGAGCAATGAAAAAGTTGGGTAAATACCAGGTGATGCACTTTGCCCTCTTCAACTATAGTGGACCATACATTTGTAGGTCAAAATAAAAACTTTGACTTGAGCTTTTCTGAAATAAAAACGAAAAAATATGCCATCTTTGATGAACTTTGCTCTTATGTGTATGAATTATCCATGTTTCGGAAATATACACGATTCATGAAAAACAGTTCCGTTGTAATCCTGTGAGTGCAATTAAACAATGCTATACATGTATGTGACACATGTATGATTCTAGTACGGCAAAAGGGTTGCCCCAACATAACATTAAGTTATATATGATTAAAGGTAAAATCTTGTACGAGTAGTGTTTAACTTGATATGGTCCACTTGACCGACCAATGACTGTTGGAGTCATTCTTATGAGGATTAATATAAGGGGGTCAACCTACAATTTTTCTGCATTGAGGCTTATCGAGCGATTCATGAGAGTGTGAAAAAAAATCAGTACGTATTGGCGAGTGATAACGATAATTATTATTGCATATGAAATTTGATAGAAACCTGTATAAATTTATTGACTTTTTTACGCAAAATTTTGTCGAGATCTCGTTCAAACCATTCACATCGATTTCATAGAAAAAAATTTTTAGACGCCACGGGTACTTTTTTGCAAGTTTAGAGGAAATGAAAGGTCCGTGCTATACGCGTCCAAACAATTTTCAACATCCAGGGGGGGGGGGAGGAGGAACCCAAACCGCGACTTTTGCCGAATTCCTCGATTCCGCCCAAAGCGATAGCAAATTACCTTGCTTTAGCCGAGCGAATGATTTGTCGTCGTCGGGATATTAAACGTCGGCGATTAAAGTTCCAAGGTATTCCGTTCGGGGCCGGTTTTATCGATTTTACTTGAAAAATTACGGCACTTCGATATCGTTTGACACTCCCAAGAGGTTTTTAAGGCACGTTTCCCAACTTTGGCACCCCAGTTATATATATATACATGTATACCTTGTTGATTTATCGGAGTTTGAAAACCCTTCCCCTGTACAGATTACCCGTGACCCCCCCTCGCCCCGCATTCTTACATCGACGTAATTAAAGTCTTTCGTACGTCTCGAAGGGTATTTGCTCGTCCAGCAACAGCATTGTAAAAAACCCCTTTGATTTACCTACTTCTCGATACGCGTCGCGTTCAATTATGCGCTCGTTTTAACCACTGACTGACGTCTCGTGGATTAAAGTCAAAGACAAAGCCACCCTGGGACACTGAAAGGAAAAAAAAAAAAGACAAAGAGACCCAGGGAGCTTTGAAAATGCAATTGTCGCGGTACTCGCTCGTAAGAGCAGCAACAACGGCAATGGAGACAATAAGAGAAAGAGAGTTGTGGCCGTAATCTCGAGAAAACTGTGGCACTTGAAGAAACCACCAAGTGACTTGAGATCGAGCGACTCCTAACACCACCCATATGTACTTAAGTAATAATATACACCGAGTACATATTATATAAAATGTTGGATGCAAAATGACCAAAGAACCAGAGCAGAGGGGATTCGGAGCAGTTCGAAACTTTGCTTGCCATCACTTGACATCAATCCATTGTCAACCCTTACACATGTGGATACCCAAGTATCTCTTTTCTCTCCACGGCACCAGATGTCCACCACCGCGGTGCGTGAAGTGTTGTTTTTATGTCGCGAGAAGCTCCTTTGCCTGGCTATACGCAACGTGTGGCCAGGAGCGACACGACGGAACACGAGCACCGGAAAAAATATATAAACGGCGCACTATAGGGATAGGAGTGGGATGGAAGGTGCACCGAGAGGGTGAAAAAAAAAAAAAGAGAGAAAAAAAAAACAGCGAGAGCGGAGCAGTGACCAGCGGAGGGGACAAAGAAAATTTGTCCGCGAGCAAATGAGCGAGCCCCGAGAGCTCATACGCGTCGTTGGTTACTACACGCGCGAGCATTTCTCTCTAGCGTTTTTATCTCACTCGTCGCGTGCGGTGGGCTACTTTTTTTTTTTTTTTTTTTTTTTTTTTTCCTCCCGCCGCGAGCAAAAATATCATCCGCAAGCGCGCGTACGAGGACCTCGACCGTACGGTGGTTTTTTTTTACCCCATCCCCCTTTGCTTTTTTGGGCTGTATTTTCCGCCTATCCACTCCACAACTGCCCCCTCTGCCTTTTTTATTTTGCTTACTTTTTGCTTTTGTTTTTTTTTTTTTTTTTATAGAGGCCCCACCGGTGCGTAAACATCGATACAAGAATTCATCTTTCCTCTGCGCGAAATATTACGGGCCGGC